AAGCCAGATCAAAGATATAGCATTTATAAAACTGCTGGTTAAAAAGATAAAAGTGAGATAACAGACATCAATTTTTCACTATAAATCTCTGGGTTTACTACAACATTAAAATTTCCAGTAAAAGCAGGGTTTTATATACCTGAACTCTAATGGCCTATTCTGAAAATATTTATGTCAGGAAAAGCATGGTATTTGCATGCCAAAAGCAATTTTAGTGCCAACATTTAGCATTCCCTTCCCATTTAACTCCTTCCCATCTACTCACGAGCGTTAGATGCTCTGCCTAATGCCTACCCGGTGCGCCTCCCCACGCAGCCTGTCGGAGGACGCTCCAGGTGCACACTAAGGCAAAAAGTCAAACACCTCTAGTAAAATGCCACGGCACAAAATACTTGCCTGATGGCTTGGGCTGGAGTCTCTAGCAATGGTCTGAACCACTGATTTTACCTCCATGCTTTGCATGCAAAGCTACTCATTTCCAAGGGGCTAACTGCCTAACCAAAGTGAAAGACGGGGACAGAAGGACAGGAAATTGGGCAACATGGTGCAACAGCTCAGAAGTAACGGGTCAAAACTCTCCGTAATTAGATGAGGTTTCTGGAGGTATGGGTAGCACTCCATTAGTTTTATGCTAAAATTAAAATCGGAGCATGATTCTGTGAGAGCCAAGTGTCTCGCCTTCAACATACAGGCATTTTGATTCGGTGGGAAAGGAGGGCATTCGGCACCTACCTGGCCATGCACAGCAATCGGCAGGATTGACGCTGCAGAAAAGTATCGGTTTTACCTATTTATTCCACTATAAAGTAAACTTATTCAGGTATAATAATGCAGGCTAACGGCCTTACACTGTAGCACATCAGACTCTCAGAGGTACGGAAGTTGATATTACTTCAGTTTTTGCAAACTGTAATTTCCTAAATTTAAGAAAGCTTTAGCAACATAAGCTGATTTTCAGCAAAGTTTTGCTTTCTTCCCTACTTCATACTAGCACGTGCAGGCCACAGGCTTTCAGGATAAGCCATTAATGTAAATGTAGCTTCTCAAAATACAGCAAACATACAGGAGCACTACAAGTCTCTACTTGCCTTATCTCTCAGGGCTCTTAGGTTTGGGGTTTTTTTGTTTGTTTGTTTTTATGGAATAAAATTAGATTTCAGCATCTGTCACCATCAAGAAAAAAACTCATCCCTGGCTCCCACATGAAAACATTGTAACCAATGCACAGTTACTGAACCATGATGCCTTAATGATCATTACACAAATCAACTTTTTTTTTGTTTGAAATAACGAAATTAAGAATGTGCTTTCGTAATTACTCGAATCAGTCTGTCAGGTTATAAATTTAATAAAAACCCAATATGATTAAATTGTAAAAGTAACGCATAACACACAAATTTATATATGCGTGGATTCTTTTCATTTTGACTTATTCAGGTGTGCTGATTAAATTTTAATAAACAATATTGTTAGTATTGCCGTTCTACCACTAAAAAACAACAACCTGGGAGCAGACACAAAGCACTCGGTAAACCTTTCTGTCTTCCATTTGCATGTATTTTTCTAAAGCTCTCTTTTCAACATAACCTACCAAAAAAATACATAGACCTATTGGGCAGACAACGTGCAATAAAAATCTAAGATTTTAAATACTGACGTTAGGTGTTTTGCCAATTACAATTCTAAAACTCCCTAAAGATATGATGTATTCAAGCAATTTGAATTATAATATCTTCCTCAGCTCCTCAGTATAACCACAGTAACCTTTAAAGTATAGGTTTTGAATTTAACAGAATTTCAATTTATTCTGCAGATAATATATCAATCCTTAAAAACACAGACATTTTAAAAATATACAGGATGCATACATTCCTATACGGGAAAAGAATTCAACGTTTGAAGGAATCTTCTAGCTAAGTCCCCAAACTCGTTCAAACCCATGTGCCAAATAGTCCCTTTTCTTTGGGAAAGCCAACAAGCCGCCAGCAAAGTGCACCATGAAACTACAAGTACGCAAATCATCGCTCACCTAAGCCAGAGCATGGTCTCACTAATACCACTGCAATCTCCTCCTGCTCCCGTCACCTCTTCCCTGCCCTGCGCTACGGCCTCTGCTGCACCGAGCCCCTGCAGCCAGCTGGTTTGTTGAGCATCAGGTCCATATGCGGCCCTCCATCAATCAGGTAACTCTTGCCAAAGGCACTAACACAGCGCAAGGGAAGATGCTCGGTTTTTACCTCGGTGCTACCTAAATAGAAACTTCTGTAGCGCATCATTTAATAGCTCTTCTGTACAAAGTGCTCTAGTCAGCAGAACATTATCTGCAGTCTCCTGGCTCAGGCAAGCCCAGCCACCTTGCAGACGCTGGCTGCTTCGACACCCGATCTAATGTTGACCCGAATCAGTTCCTTAAAAAAAAAAGGCCCTCCAGCAAACATCTACCTTTGTCTACTGGCAGAGCTGCTTTAGGTCACATACGGGTTTGTACCGTAAGTCCAGACTACACTCAGCAGTTAATCAAGATTTTTATAACCAAAATAAGACAAAAGCAGCAACGTTCAATTTTTGTGATGTTTAACAACAAAACTGTTAACCAATGCATCATTTTCTAATATGTGTCCTCCAGACTTTTTCGTATAACTGGAAGTGATTATCCCAGGATTTCCAGTTCTGAGCGGGAAACCAATATCCCCAAATGAAAAAACAACAACAGACCTCTCTCAAGAGAGGTTCTCTCAAAGAATATGTCTGAACAAGCCTTTTTTTTGTGCAAGAGAGACTTCTTTGCCCCAAGAAATAATTGTCTGTACCGCTGACAAGCTCCAATGCAGAATTTTTACAAGACAGATATCTCCTTTAATATACGTGGCTTTGCTACATATTTAAAACTTATTGATTGGCTGACTAGTAGTCAACTGGTTAGAGAAGACCCAACACATTCAGTTTACCTAAGAGGTTACTTCTGTGAAGTAGATTTCTACAACAAATGGTGCTTTGGCTAACTACAGACCTGAAAGCTTGCTTAATACATAAATTAACATTACATTGCTTAAATGTGGGAGAAAAATAACTTCTGAGAATACAGGCATAATCTCCATAATAAAAGGGAAAAGAACTATGTGTTTGGTGACGTTTGTTTTCTATACTTGGTAGCAAAGTTTGTACAAAATCTGAATTTTATACCGATACTCTAAAAAAACTGCACCGCATCCTCTGGAAGCTTTTGTGCTTCACTTTGATTACCTGTCCCTTTTAAAGTCAGCATGAGAAGAGCTGTCCCACCTAGAAATTTTAAGACTGCACACTTAAATAAATGCACTATCACACAAATCAGATCAGATCAAAATTATGCGGACCGATAGATTGGCTTCATACCTTAGTTTTGCAGAGATCTGCAATGGAAAGGGGAAGGTGTAGAAAACGGACAGTTCTCTAACCCTGAGTCTTGACATGTAAATAAAGACATCTGAGGAGCACACAGGTTGGAAGCTGCTGTAACATTCTATCATAATTAGAAACATTTCAAGAGCCCTGTAATTTCCAATCAAAATTACAGTAATTTCCGATATACAAGCCATGATTCATGACAGAATTTTTACATTCCATGGGAGATTATAGTGGCCTGATGTATGACACACTGAGTACAGCACTAACATAAACAATTCAGTTTAATGTTTAAACAGCACTTGGTGTTTAGAATCCAACAATAAAAGAAACATATTATTGTAGAAATTATCACTTTGACAGTGATTGAAGGGTAGGCAGGCATGTGGCCTATAAAGCTATAATTTTTACAGTCCACAGCTTGAGTTTAATCATTTTGATATAACATTTCCAAAATATCCCTTTAAATGCTCCTTACAGCATATAACTTAAGAGACAACATCCTTTCTGTACAATGAAATGGAGTAAACTCCAAAATGTGAACAACGCAGAAGTCAAAAGTTAAAGACTGTTAAAACCAGCACTAAAATGCTGAGGGCCCAAGAAACATTGGTCTAACTGATCATTATCAGCTTTCCCTGGAAGACACTGTATTTTTCTATGAAGCAATTTTAGAAAAGTAAAGGAATAGTAACTAAGTGCATTTAACTTCTAATCTAATGTGAAAATTCAACGTTGCAAGCATTGGTGCCTTTACCATTTCTTTCAAGTGTTGGTATAACCGTGGTTCTAGTCTTTCCCATTTTTCTATATGTTTTTCCTTTACTTGCTTCTTGAGAACATTCTCACTTAAATCACTGCTTTTGCATACTCCGGTGATCTTTCTCAGAAGACATGTCACTTACGATAATCACACCCAACAAGTGCTTGCTGATTTCCCTCTCCTGCCACTAAACTTGACAGAAATTCTTCAGTTGAAGAAAACAGAATAGGAAACCACATAACAAAGTTTAAAACTGAATATGCAATATATATGCATGCACACACACAGGTAACCAAGCAGCCATCGTATTCCACAAAGATCATACATGTTTTCTCGGATGTAACTTGTATAACCATAATTTGTTGGGGTTAATTTTTGTTTTTGACTTGGACAGTGCTGCCCCACCTCCCGTGCACAGACTCACCAGTGGGTCTGACTAATTTTTTTTGCAAAAACCAGAACCCCAGCGTTCCTCGTTACAGCACATGCAATTGCAAAACACCAAAGCCTTGAGATGAATTCGGCAGCAATACATAGAGCTCGCTCACAGCTTTTGCCACGTCCACACCAGCTAAGAACTGATGAACCTGATGCTTTCTGAGCCGCGCAAGACCCACGGACACACAACGAAAGCATCTCACTGGCAAGGAAGAGGGAGAGATGCGTCTCAGGAAGCCACTTCTCAATCCTGCCTGGTCAAGGGTAACGAGAGGTTACCTTTGGACTCAGCAAGGAGCTCCGAGCTGTGGTACCAGGCCAGCTGCTCATTGTAACTCACAGAGAAACAGATCAAAACCAGGGAGGGGGAATAATCACACAGGACAGGGAGGCCATTGCTCCCTGGGAACTTTACCTGGCTTTTGGTTGCCGCAACTTTTGCAAACAGTGCTTGAGACACCTTAGCTCTCT